TCTGTTCATCTTGACGTAGCGTTTCAGTGGGAGAAAGGTTTTGTCGCTCATCCAAGTGACTTCTTCAGTTCCTAGGAACGAACCTCCCAGCCCATTGTTCCTTCAGTGGTGCTAGTTTCAATCATTATGCAAATGTGCTGCTTATAAGATTGGGAAAACCTGCAGTCAGCTGAGACTGATGAGTGACGAAACGTTTGTCCCACTGAAAACGTTATGTCCAGATGAACAGAATTAACTTTTGAGGATTTGCTTACCTGGATGATTGAGCATGCATCAAGATGTCTGCACCAGACTTGTGTTTCTGGATGAACCAGACTCTTCTATAGAGGTCTGTCTTTTGGGTTTAATATATTTTTTTTAATCTGCTTGTATGCGTGAGGTACTATTCTGTGAAAAATAAACGCGAGTCCGACAGCGATTCAGCACCTTGGACAGTGACAAATAGGGCACAGTTCTACATTGTTAGTCGTTTTTATGCGCTTCTTGTATATATTTGTATGCCTGGAGTAAATTCTTTTTTTTTTCAACAATCTCTCGTTTTCATTCTGTGTGAATGAATTTCCATTGTTACGTTCATTCCAGTGTTGCTTAAGATGAGAAAACGCCATTTGTTTTTTTCTGTCATCCTCCTCATTTTCATTATAGACATGCACTGGCTTTTTTCTACTTCTTTTTTGTCCTTCTTCTTCTACTGTTTGCCTCGTGTACTTTCACCTTGTGAACTCATCGCGCCGCTGTTGCACAATGTGTCAAGTTATTGACTCTCTTTAATAACACATCCATCCAGTCAGCATCCCGGCATATTACGAAGCACACTCAGACGTACAACGCACAGTTTAGGAATCAGATCAAATTCACGGGCAGCTTAAAACGGATTCCTACTATAACGGGTGGATTAAAACAGATTCCTTTTTTTATCTTTTCTATTCATTTTGGTGGAATTTTAATCGTTAAACGGAATAAAACAACATAGCCGTGGTGTGACAGCGGTGTCGGACAGAACAATGGAACGGCAAGTACTGATAATCTCCATTTTCTGCCTCAGTTATGTGGTTGGGCAGGTTAGCTATTCAGTTCCAGAAGAAATGGCGAAAGGATCTTTGGTCGGCAATATAGCCCAAGATTTAGGTTTAGATGTCAAACGTCTTAGGTCAGGTAAAGCTCGTCTCTATACCGGAGACAGCGCTCAGTACATCGAGCTGAATAGAGAAAGAGGAGTCCTCCTCATTAAAGAAAAAATAGACCGCGAAGTCCTGTGCAGACAGACAACGCCTTGTGCTTTACATTTTCAAATAACGTTGGAGAGCCCACTGGAATTATTCCCAGTTACGGTTGAAATTACCGATGTTAATGATAATGCTCCTGTTTTCCAAAAGGAGGAGAGAGTGTTTGAAATCAGCGAATCAGCGATCGTCGGCTCTAAGTTTATGCTAGAAAAAGCAATAGACACAGATATCGGACTGAATGGTCTGCAGAGATACACTCTTAAGCCGAGTGACAATTTTGTTCTTAAATTGCACTCACAAAGTGATGGAAGCAAGAAAGTAGAAATGATTTTACAGAAGCCATTGGACCGAGAGAAACAAGAACATATATCTTTAGTTTTGACTGCGGAAGATGGCGGTGAACCGCAAATGACAGGAACAATGAAAATCTATGTTACCGTATTAGATGTAAATGACAATGCACCTGCTTTTAGTAAACCCGTTTACAAAGCAAGCATTACAGAAAACTCTGTTAAGGGAACACTTGTTACTAAGGTCACGGCTTCTGACGCAGACAAGGGCACAAATGGAGAGGTGACCTATGTAATCGGAAATAGCATGGATACAGTTTCAAAGTTATTTCATATTAATAGTGATGGTGATGTGATGTTAGATGGTCCGATTGACTATGAAACTGAAAAAACTTATAATATCGACATAGAAGCAATCGATCAAGGTGGACTCTCTGACTCAAGTAAACTAATCATCGATGTAATTGACGTGAATGACAATAGACCCGTTGTAAATATGATTTCAGCGTCAGGCTCAATACCGGAGGACTCAGCTCGCAAGACAGTAATAGGTTTAATGAGCGTAAATGACCCTGATTCTGAAAATAATGGGAAATTGAATTGCGTGATAAATGAAAATATTCCATTTGAAATTAAATTTACATCTAACAATTTCTATAGTTTAGTGACAGACAGTGATTTAGACAGAGAGAGAGCCTCTGAGTATAACATCACTGT